TTTCGATGATTGCCTACACTTGCAACTTGGCACAATCATTTATCAACATTCCTTCTACTTGCTTGCACTTTTATACTATCATTTACTATAAGCCTGCTGTTGCTTTCTCTGCATTTCTTGCGTTCCCTTTGTGTGAGCGCTTATGCTTTCTTGAGTACAAGTTTGTTCTCCTTATGCTCCTATTTTTATTTTTTCTTTATTTATTTTTTTTATTGAAAACTGCGCCGGAGTTTATTGGACCAGTGGCATATCGTCGTTTAAAGTACAAAACCGCGTATCGTCATTCTGCAAAACCGCGTAACTGACATTGGCTGCCAAAAATTGGATTTGCTCACACAAGCTCTTGGCTCAATCCTTATCCATTCGTCCTGAAATATACTGGCCAGAAATGCGATTGCTTTATAAAAAAGAGAACCGTTTTGAAATATGAGTGTTTTCACGCTCTAGAAAATAATTTCTACAGCTTCACATACGCGGTTTTGCATTTTGTGGATACGCGGTTTTGCATTTTGTTGATACGCGGTTTTGCACTTTAAACGCCGATATCTTTAACTGCGTTGTAGGCTTGGTTTTCTCTTTAGAATTACTATATGTGTGTACATATGTACATACATATACATACATATGTTTGTAGGTATGCATCTTGTGCGTATTGGTTTTTATCTGCGAGTATTAGCTGCAATGATAATGGCAATGGGAGCTGCATATTTCCTGGTGTTAAATACATTCCTTTCTTAATCGATATGTTTGAATGTATGTACACTCCCATGCACTTGATTAAAAAGGCCTGTATGCAGCTCTCAAGAAAAGCAAAAACTCCATATAAAATGACGTACAAGAAATGGCTAAGAAATTTTCTTGAGTCAATTTTCCTTAAGGCAGTACGCAGTTCTTAAGAAATTTACTACGCTTTCTACTACGGTTTTGTGAAAAAAGAGCACAAGGCAACCCAGGCTTGCAACAGAAATATATGCCCGTTCCATTATTTCTTGAGGAAAGAGTGAGGCAACAGGCTGTGAGGTATCAAAAATGTCAAAATTCCTTGGACACACACGCGAAATAATGGCAATTTTTTCTTGACCGTTTTCTTGAGAGCTGCATACAGGGCTATACTCAGTATTGATAGTTCCCCTTTTTTATTTAATATTCATTAAGTTCTTATTAAATATAGCATATTCTTTAACGAAAAACATGTGAATCCGATTTTCAAACTTTATACAAATTTAAATAAGTTAATCGTTTAAAACAAGCTTTCTAAATAGTAACCGAATCGGACCATAAATACGGGCTCTCCGAATATCTGGACTTCTGCGCCACCTACAGGCAAATTTTCTTTTTGCAGTTAGTCCTTTTAATGTGAGTTATATATATGATAAATATAAACTAAATATGTCCTTAGGCGGAGATTTTCGAGATATATTGACCCCGCGCCAGCTACCGGCTAAATTTTTTGTGGAGTTATTTCCTCTCATATAGGTGATATACATTCCAAATATGAACCAAATCGGACTATAAATACAGATTTTTCACATATCTCGACTCCGGCCCCATCTGGTTCAGATCAAAGTTTTGAGTTTCAAGTCTCTAGCTTATCGGGAGGTTGCTTAAAAATTGAATTTACTTAAAGAAACATACATACTTACATCCATACAAAGCAAGTTAAATAAAAGCTTGTAGAAAAATCAACAAAGGCTCTCCCTATTCAAGTGCCTAGCAGTGTGTAAGTTAATAATACTTTTAGAAAAATAATTCATTGCAAATGTACCACAAGTTTGATTAAATACTCTAAAGGGGGCATATATCGTCCCGTTTCTGCTTTAACCTCGTATCTGCAATAGAGGTAATTTAGAGAGTGTAAGAAAAAATGCCTTCTTTCTTCTCCTAGGATACAATAAACGCATTTTTTACTTAATATTTCTGGTTCCACTAAAAATAGTGGTCGGCCGCTGTGGTGTAGTGGTAAGCAGTGCGCGCTTCCACTCCACAATGCCTGGGTTCAAACCCTGGTCAAAGCAACATCGCAAAAATATAGAAAAAAAGGTTTTTTCTTAACAGCGGTCGTCCCTCGGCAGGCAATGGCAAACCTCCGAGTGTATTTCTGCCATGAAAAACAGCTTCTCATAAAAATACAATCGCCGTTCGGAGTCGGCGTAAAACTGTAGGTCCCTCCGCTTTGTTTGTCAACATCAAGGCGCACGCCACAAATCGGAGGAGAAGCTTGGCCAAACACTAACATATGTGTAAGCGCCAATCTATTATTATTATTACTAAAAATAGTGTGACGCTTGAACAACAGTTATAAGAAACGGGACGATATGTATGTATGTATGTATGTAGTTGAACCGCGACAGTCGATAAATGTACAAAATTTGTACTACAAATAAAATTCTCACCACACACCACTCTGAAAGGATATCTTTGAGAAATACTTCCATGGCTTTAGATTCAGTGGAAACTAAAAGAACTCAAAAACTTGACAATCGAAATGTTCTCCAAGGTTGCAGTTTCAATTGAGAATGACGTTTGTTATCAACTTTCAAGTAATTAAAAAAGGGAGCTACTGTTTTACACTGTATTTAGGAAGTTAGCCATATACTCGCAGATTTGCCACTGCTTACTGCGGAGCGACATGAATGTTAGTCGGACTGAAGATCGAGCCTGCTCCTTCCGATTATTGGTAGGCACCTCTAACCATTTGACTAAGACGACATGAAAGAGCTTAGGAAGTACTATGATTTCATTTACCTTTCTTTAGTCATTAGTAGTTTTCCGTTGTAGTTACTGAATACAAAGGTACTTATAATTACTGAATACAATGGCACTTAGTATTAAAACGTAGCATCATTAAATCTATATCTATATATAAAAATGGAATGTCTTTCGTATGACCGCGATGCCTAACCGATTCGATTATGTAAAAAGCGATTTTTTGGAACTTCTGTGTAGAAGGTTTTTCGTTAAAAAATTAAAACTTTTTGTTGTTGCCAAAAATGAAGAAAGCTGAGACGTCACATGTGTCGGCACATTGAAATGAAATATTCCGACTAAAACTTTTATCGCTAGGTGGCGATGTTGTCGGGATATTCCTAAAATCTGCATTTAGTTGCAGGTTTGGCTCATATTTAGAACATATGTAAGCCAATTGAAAATAAATATTTGGACTAAAAACGTACTAGATAGGTGGCATTCTAGCCGAGATATCCCTAGAATTCTTATAAAGATAGATACATATCTACATTGACGGGCAAAACTGTAACATGGTGTAACACTTTATGTCAACCATCGTAATCTTTCCAAGTTTTAACGACATTCATACTTTTGTTGTTTTATTCTTATTGGTACACCTGTACTTCCTCTCTCATAATGATTTGAAGTCAATCTAACAAAAATAATAAAACCAGCAGACAAAACTGTAAATTAGTGCGAATGTTACACGACACAATGTTACTATTAACACAATGGGTACTGTTTTGCTTTTTTTAGTACTTGGATGCGATTTGGCATGTATAATTCGTATCTCTGTAAATATTCTGGAGGTATACCCTCTCATATATCCTTAGTTTGCTTTCACAGCTCATGTTCTCCATTGGTCGGACTTGGATTCTTAGTAAGATGTGCTTTTAGTTGATTTCGCGAATTCTCGATGAGATTCATGTCCGCAGATTGTGGAGGTCATTTCAAATTAGCAAATTTTTGCTTTTGTATCCAGTCTTTGTGAACATGTGCAGTGTGTTTTGGGTGATTTTTCAGCAGAAAATCTAATTTTTTCGACTACATCTTGCAAATTTTGTTGAAATACGCATAATGCGTACTAACGGACCAACAAAATTTTTGAAATACACCCCAAACTATTATTGACCGACCACTGTCATTCCCAGTTTGCCTTACATCATGCGCTTGGACTTAACTTGGGTCTTTGATCCAATACCATGCCCTGTCATCTGATTGAAAGCGATTAATTTAGTCCTGTCGGACCAAATAACCTTCAATTGAAACTTAAATGTGTTTTTTTTTGCATTCTGAAAGGCCTAACATATGTATCCCAAGATGCAACGGTCCGGTTTTCGTGTGACACAGCAAAATGCTGCCACGCTCGCACATGTATTTTGATCAAATTGGCTTTTTTCTTCTTTTATTATGCCTTTGCGCTCAATTTGACTATCATTCGCTTCTGCAAAAGTGGCTGCATCGCTACTTGCTAATAAGTTCACAATATATCGGACCGTAATATTTTTTGACAGACGGCCTTTGTCTTTGGGAACACTTTAGGCTATATTTTTTCTCGGTCTTAACATTTTCATGAGGCAAACTCCACAATTTTTTGCCACTTTTCCTGCCTTTCCGCAGTAAATCTATTATTTACATTTATGGTTCCTGATTAAGCATATTATTTACTGGTGATCTCTTCTTGAAGAAATTACAATACAGAAAAAAGTCAACTGACTTCCAACTGAGTAAAAGATAACTGAAATACCTTAAAGTTGTGACTTAGCCGCTTTGGATGGACAATTTAATATATGTAAGTCCTACTTTATAAGTAAGAATGTGTAAATTCAGCTACCTTAGCAAGACGCCGTGTGTTGGGAAATTTACATGAGGCGATTTTTCACGCAACTTTTAGTTGAAGTAAAAGTCCCGTGTATTCTGTTATTGCTTTTAGGTACAACAGGATGTCAAAATGAAAGAAAATAGGAGAAAATTTTCGCCATTTCGTTTTGTTGACATCTTGAAGTTACACCAGTTCATCTTGGATGACATTCTGCTATACTAGTGTAGGACAAAAATATCCTATCAGCTGTTCAAGTACCACCACCTTCTTGCGTTTACGTGTTGCTTGCTTTTTAAATCAAAAGCATTTGCCATAAAGGGCTTTAATTTTTTATTTTGAGTGTTAAGGAAATTTTTATCATTAAATTAATTGTGTATAAAAAATCGATGCAGCTCAAACCAAAATTAGTTGAATTTACCATATTAATAAAATTATTTTCTACGACTTACAGATTCCTTGAAGCGGCCAAGCAAAACCGAGCAGAGAGAAAGTGACAATTGCTGTAGTCGGAAGCGAAGCTTTAAGAGTGCCGTAAGCTCACGGCAATTTCGGTCAGCAACCTATTTCCCTGTTGTGAATAACATTCCACTCAGAAAAGGGAAAGCAAAAACGTTTAGCCACGACCATAAGCTGAAACACAACCGTCAGTTTATTTTAGTTTTATTTTTACTTTGATATCGTGTAACGGAATTAAATTGGCTATAACACGAAAGGACACAAGTGTTGCGAGGGCATGTTTAGTGTGATCGAAAGAGCGGTTAAGTGTCGTCTATGGCCGAATCCGTTAACAGTCAATCGCTCTCTGCAGTGACGGAGGGGCACGACGACAGCACCACAATAGCGAGTACGGCGCCAGCTACAACCACATCCACAACAGCCGCAGAAGCGGCTTCAACTAAAACGCGTCGCAGCAGACAATTAAAACAGAAGCAACAAACACAAAATTCTCCGCTGCATAAACAAATTAAGCTACATTCTTATAGCAATAAAAATAATAACCAGCAACAACAAACAAACGGCAGTGACGGAAGTTTCGCCAGTGGTAGCAAAAGTAGCTCTAATAAACCTCAACAGCTACAGCAACAGAAATCAGCACACACATCAGCACCAACGTCAAGCAAGTCGTCGGCTGTGGAAATCGTGAGTAGCAGTGGAAAAAAGCGTGCACATAGCAAAAATCGCTCCCCAGCAATTGGCAGTGGTAGTAGTCCCAACACTAGCATCAGCAGGAGTCACTCGAGCAAACGTGCATCGTCCCGTGGAGCTTTGAATAATAGTGGTACTACAACAGAGGCTGCTTCATTCAGTGTCCAGGTTGGAGTCGCACGCAGTGATCGAAAACGCCACCACGATCAGCATCAATTAAAGCGAACAACTTCAGCATTAGCATCTACTTCAGCTTCAGCCACAGTTACAGCTGCTGTCTCAACTACAACCACAACATTAACTTCACAAGAGAGGAAAAATAACGGTAAGCTAGTGGTCTACTAAGGTTTGACAATTGGTTTGGACAAAAAAAGTTACTGTGGAGGTGCAAAAGTGGAAGGCAATCGCAGCCGACGAATGTTTAGGGTTATAAACCCTAGTTGTTCCGTGAAATATAAACATATAGTAATTTTTTATTGGCATAACAAAAAATTAAAAAGTGGGTAAAAGCAACGATAATTTACAAGGCGAACTTAGCACAGTGCATAGGCAACTGGCTGAGTCAGTGGGATCGTCGGTTCGAAGCCTACTGAAAGTAGTCTGATGAGAAAATTTGATGATTTCCGAAATAGCTATCACTTCTACCATTTTTTCAATTATTGTTGCTTTTCCACAATAAGTTTTTCATTAAAAAACGGCCTCGAGCTCGATAAAAAATGTTGAATAAAAAAAATAATAATATTTCACACCCCAGTGTATAAATATACGAATGTACTTAATTACTGTACATAAGTATTGGCCATATCTATAGCACCCCCATTTCAAAGTGATATTGATTGCCACTTATGCTTAATTATTAATTTTTAAGAATTTTCAATTAAAATACAGTTCGTTCTCTAAAGAACCCATATAAACCCAAGTTTCAAACTTTGTAAAAGACTACAAAAAAATGCAACAAATGTTCACCTAAATTTCAAACTTTTTTCTAAGAAGTATTAAAATTTTTTTTGGGTACGCAGTTTTATAGCAAATTCAATTTTAGTCTAATAATGTGCAAGTTTCCAATGGTNTTATATATATTATGGTTAATTATTAATTTTTAAGAATTTTCAATTAAAATACAGTTCGTTCTCTAAAGAACCCATATAAACCCAAGTTTCAAACTTTGTAAAAGACTACAAAAAAATGCAACAAATGTTCACCTAAATTTCAAACTTTTTTCTAAGAAGTATTAAAATTTTTTTTGGGTACGCAGTTTTATAGCAAATTCAATTTTAGTCTAATAATGTGCAAGTTTCCAATGGTTAAAAATTACCGTTGATTTCTTAGAATTTTTTTTGTCGCATTTGCTTTCATATAACGAATAAACACAATTTATTTTTATATGGAAGTAACCCACAACACTTTCGGCGAAAAAAGTTAAAAAATCAACGGTGATTTTTAACCACTTTCAACCTTGCACAATGTTAGACTAAAATTGAATAGGCTACAAAACTGTATATTAAAAAAATTCTTGCACTTCTGAGAAAAAATTGAAAATTAGGTGAACATTTTTGCATTTTTTTGGTAGTCTTTTACAAAGTTCAAATNGCACCCCCATTTCAAAGTGATATTGATTGCCACTTATGCTTAATTATTAATTTTTAAGANGATAAAAAATGTTGAATAAAAAAAATAATAATATTTCACACCCCAGTGTATAAATATACGAATGTACTTAATTACTGTACATAAGTATTGGCCATATCTATAGCACCCCCATTTCAAAGTGATATTGATTGCCACTTATGCTTAATTATTAATTTTTAAGAATTTTCAATTAAAATACAGTTCGTTCTCTAAAGAACCCATATAAACCCAAGTTTCAAACTTTGTAAAAGACTACAAAAAAATGCAACAAATGTTCACCTAAATTTCAAACTTTTTTCTAAGAAGTATTAAAATTTTTTTTGGGTACGCAGTTTTATAGCAAATTCAATTTTAGTCTAATAATGTGCAAGTTTCCAATGGTTAAAAATTACCGTTGATTTCTTAGAATTTTTTTTGTCGCATTTGCTTTCATATAACGAATAAACACAATTTATTTTTATATGGAAGTAACCCACAACACTTTCGGCGAAAAAAGTTAAAAAATCAACGGTGATTTTTAACCACTTTCAACCTTGCACAATGTTAGACTAAAATTGAATAGGCTACAAAACTGTATATTAAAAAAATTCTTGCACTTCTGAGAAAAAATTTAAATTTAGGTGAACATTTTTGCATTTTTTTGGTAGTCTTTTACAAAGTTCAAATCTTGGGTTTATACGGGTTTTGTTAGAGAATTAACTGAATTTTATTTGAAAATTCCTAAAAATAAATAAATAAACATGAGTGCGAAACAATATCACTTTGAAATGGGGGTGCTATTGTATTGGCCAATACTGTNTTTAAATTTAGGTGAACATTTTTGCATTTTTTTGGTAGTCTTTTACAAAGTTCAAATCTTGGGTTTATACGGGTTTTGTTAGAGAATTAACTGAATTTTATTTGAAAATTCCTAAAAATAAATAAATAAACATGAGTGCGAAACAATATCACTTTGAAATGGGGGTGCTATTGTATTGGCCAATACTGTATGTATATTGATTGCATTTCTTAAAAATTTTTAATGGCACATGCCACTCAGTTCTCATGTTTTCCTGTTTGTGCTATCTTCAATTATACCTCTTAAAGATATTTCATGTCATTCTCTATCTCTATCAACTCCAAATAAAACTACAGCTGCAACTTCGTTGAGAAATGATTTAGAATACATTCATTATCGAATTATTAACGGATTTTCAATAACTTCATACTTAGCAGCGAATCGCCATTTCATATTTTAAAATAATTGTGAATGAATTTCACAGTTGTCAAACCCTTTAGACAATTTTAGAATTTTCATCATACCATACATATTTTATACTGTTCTTGTTATTATTTTTTGCTTCGTTTCCGCAAATACTACGCATTGACTATGAATTATCCAATAGATTCAAGTTCGCCACTTAAGAAGCGCCGTTATAATTCTAACTTATCAGCGACCTCATCAACGTCAACACCTATTCCAACAACAACAACTGCGCACTACAACAGTTTCACAACTTCGTCAGGTCTCGATTCGGGATCAACAGAAGCACCAGCTTCCACATCCACAGGTGCCAATCAGGGTGATTGTGTTGCACAGCGCACACGCTCCAAGACACTTACCACTGAAGACGCCCACAATCTTGGTCGCACTACATCCAATCAAAGCTACAGGCATTCATTACCATTTGCATCGGCACCCAAAAGACACGCACGTCGTAGGGGCAGCAGCTTAAACAAAGTCAAAACTGATAATATTAACTTCAACCAGACAGCGACAGCGTCAGCAGCAGCAGTAGAATCAACGTCGGCTGCAGCACCACGCACCAGTTTCAGCGCCAGTAGTAGCAGCGGTAGTAGCAGCAGCAGCAGCAGCAGCGGCAACGGCAACATAAAAAGTAACTTACTTAATTATTTTCGCAAAACACGTAAAATCAGTCACAGTCGTACTGCAGCGCACAGCAAACGAGGAACAGCAACTCTCGACGCAGGTGACAACGCCGCCGATAATAGCAGCGATAACAACCAGCGTCAATATCAACAACAACAGCAGCAAGAAAAGCAAACTCGTAAGCTCAACACAACCGCCACCGCTGAGGGTAGGCAACACAAGGCAAATTCAAAACAGAATAAAAATCTTCAGAGTGGCGCAAACATAGCTACAACTTCATCGTCGTCTGGCACACGTAAAAGTGAATGTGGTAGTGGAGATAAGCGACAACAACAGCACCAGGCTCAACCGTCTCAACAGCACAACACTCGCCGCTTCCTATCAGTCGTAGGAGGTCGCATTAAATTTAACGCGAAATCGACAGCTGCATCAGCTGAGACAACAACAACAACAAATACAAAAGCAAATCCACATTCAAATTCAAATCATAGCGCAGCTTCAACTGCCACAGCCGTAGCAGTTAGCAGCTCAGGCAGTAGTGGACAGTCGGGAAGTCGCACCACTTCAGCAGCCACTGGTAGTGGTGCTTCAGCCAGAGTCGACAGATATTGCAAATATCGCAAGAGCTTACGCAATTATCATCAACTGATATCGTTTTCGAACGACGCAAATACTGCTATCGAAAGCAACAACACAAATACGAACGTAAGCGGCAGTTCGTCTACCGCCAATAACGCCTCCAACGCATCGACCGCATCCAACGCTAATTCAGTTGACGAGAGTGTTTTAAACGGTGGTGGTGTAATAACTGTTGGTGCTATTAACGCCAGCGAGGAGGAAGAAGAAAACTCTGAAGATAACGTTGAGATCTACGACGACGACGGCGACGAAGAAGAAGACGGCGACGATAACGAGGCGGCTGATTTAGAGGACGATTCGATTGTAGCCGAAGGTGACGTCGTTATACGCGGCGACGGTGACGTTGGGGACGACGACGAAGAAGAAGAGGAGGACGTCGACGACGAAGACGACGATATCGACGAAGAGGAGGAAGAAGACGACGACGATATCGTTGAAGAAGAGGAAGAAGACGAAGAACTAGCTACAGAGGATTCTGAGGAAGCTGTTGAAGGTGAGTCTTTCATTCTAGTTTTTATTGTGACAAATGAAATAAAAAGTGTAATAAATGAAAATGAAATGAAAATAGAAAAAAAAAACGAAATGAAACAAAGAAAACGAAACAGAATGCGCAGCAAGCAAAATCTGCTAAGTATTTTATATACCATAAACGGCTTAAATAAATGCAGATTGGCAAAAGTTGTGCTTGTTTCTGTATTTTGCTAAATTGGCTGCTAAAGCACAATCAGTTATATAAAATTACATATGTATATCTACTTGGCACTTGCTGATTTATTTTTAACCTTAAATATAAATGTAGCTGTATTATTTGAATTTACTTATGCCGCGAACATTTGTAGAACGAGAAAGTGCAAACTGGTTTATACATACCACATATATACAAACACAATTATTTATTTTTTATGGTTGCGGTGATGAAATGCAAGTTTTGGTTACCACATGCAATATGTATAAATGATTTGAAGAGCGTGCAGTTGGGTAAATTGTGAATATCCAAAGGTTTTAATTTAAGAGCAAAGTTGTGCTTCAGAAATACTGCATTCAAATTAGCTATAGGCATCGGAAAGTATTAAGTATTTATATATTTTTTAGTTCTTATTTGTTGAGAGGTTAAGATTATTAAACTTAAAAAAGGAATCCGTTCTAAACGGTTTAGGATTTTTACTTCAGTAATTACTACTCCGCAGATGCATTGAGTTTTATAATTTGTTAGCTCGGTTTCACGAAATTTGAAAATTAACTTAATTAAATTATCAATGTTTTTTTTTAGAAAATAACCAGTCTTTTTTTGCAGAAAATAACTGGTATTTTTTGGCGCAAATTAACCAGTTTTTTTTATGCCATTCATAAGGAGTAAAGTTAAAATTTAATCTAGGGGTTGAAAGATCAGAAAAGAACGGAGAAGTTCCGAAAAAATTGGAATAGCATAACACAAGTAAGTATCTTGAAATGTTCCAAGTCTGGAAGAAATCTGGAAACGGGAAAAAGTCCCGAAAACACCTGAACGGTCCCGAAAGAATTTTGAAAACTCTCGAAACGCCTCGAAAACTCACAAAGCATTTTTTTATTGTTATTGAATAAAAAATAAGCAACAAGTACTGATTAATTTCTTCTGGAAAAAAATATCAGACTCACTTTTACACTTATGCTTTGTTTTTAACGCCGGATCACACGATTCGTACAGTTTTACAAATTCGTAAACTTTTTTATTCGGCCATCATCTTATTTGATACTATAATCGTTTTTCGGCTTTGGGTTGAGATTAAAAACTTCGCCAATTGACTCTCACCTTTACGAAGTTTCGGCAGTTGTGCATTCCGAGTGCAGGCAAGTTGTTCCGCACTTGGTTCGTCCATTGTGTTTCTGGGCGTCATTTTTTGACCACGCATGTGTGCCGACTCGTAGGATCTTTTCACCGGAGCCTCGTATAACTATGCACGTCCATGTCGTTAAACTGCTCGTACAGTTCGACATTCCATTTGCTTCAGTGCACATCGTCCACGCGAACAGGGCCGTAGGTCTTGCTTAGAATAGTTCTTTCGAAATCGCCATGCCTTCTCATCTTTGTTCGGTTTCGTCCAAGTTTCTGCGAGACTTGTAGAGCGTAATTTTTCTTCGTAGAGAAAATGATCTGCTTTTCAATTGCCTATCGAGCCCAAAAAAGGTACCAACCTGTAGGCAAGAGTTGTTGTTGTTGCTAGGAGGGATTTTGTCTTTTCCTCATTCTACGCTAGACCAACCACATGTTGTGCTGATGTCCCTGCTTTGCAGTAAAATAAGCAAAACCTTGCAAGTTTAATGTACAAATTTGTAGAGTTATCGAAATTTGTAGCGTTATCGAATTTATTGAGTTTTTAAAGTTCATTGAGCAATCCATACGTATCGAATTGTTGAAATGTATCGACTTCCTGAAATGTATGGAGTTATCTAAATTCGTCAATGTTTTAAAATATTTTTCGAGTTATCGAGAATTATCTGAGATACATAGTGTCCAATGGTTCCCGTATCACCCTAATTGAAAATTGCGTTAAATTTCGGTCTGAATTTTTCCCATTCCTCCACAGGAAATTGAGCTTGTAGAGTTTCTCAAATCACTTGGCAATGGAATATGCCAATTTCTCGCGAAATCTTAAAAATTATGATACTTTAGTGTTGCTGAAATTAATTCTGATGATGTTCGGAAGCACAACAATTACCCTACTGAATTTTTGAACGATTTATCTGTCTGCGGTTTGCCTCTACATAAACTGGTACGCAAAAAAATTAAATTACCTACACGCAACATATCGATTTTATCGTAAGCGACAAATTATCGACAAATTTTTTTTTTGCTGCAAATAGGTTACAAATAGTAGTTACAACGTTCTGCAAAATCAGAGACTTTGAAGACGAAAAAAAAGCAAAAATGAATTTTATCGTTTGCTTTGTTTACACATTTGAGTTCCTACAATTTTATCGTAAGCGACACTGTGTACAGAACTAAATTGTAAATAGCAGTTCGAACGGTAGTTTTAACCAAAGTTCCATCGGCACTTGCTACAACTTGTTGCTTAAAACCCAGCTTCTTTCCCTCATCAATATTAAGTGCAATCTGCCATTATGCAATTGCAGCTGCAATCACTACGTGCAGCGTAGCTCGTCTAGCGGGGTCTTTTTTGAAACTCTTGCTTTGCCAATGGGTTATAAATTATAAGCTTTAAAAGCATATCAGAAAGATGAAAAACAGACACCTAACGGGGTTTGTATTCCTATTGTAGGCATTGGTCTAGAAAAAATTGCAACTGAATTCGAACTTCCATCTTAACACCAGCGTACACGCCCATATAGATTCACATTTTCGAGATTATTTAATTTTGCCGTTTATCTCCTTTCAAATTGCTTATAAGATTTTGATTTTATCCTTTTACTTATCATAACTTTTGCCCTTCAGCCTTTATTTTATAAAATTTCAGTTTTTGATTTTAATCTCTGGATTAAAAGTTTTCGTTTAGCAATTTTTTCGATTTCGAAACTTACCAAAAATCTCCTAAATATGAAGATTTTGGCCATGAACCTATTCAGTAGCTCGTTTCCGTAACTCTTCTCTACCGATTATATCTCTACTGGTAGAGAATATACATATGTCATTCTCTACTACTCATTAGCAGTAGAGAACAGGGCGGCGAATTCATATCTCAATTCGCCTTGGTAGAGAATTGTTACAGAAACGATTAAGGATTAAATCTTTTTTTCTCATTCTTTAAAAAAATGTCAAAAAATACCAAATAGTAGCGTCAATGTAGTCATTTTAGATTGTTAGAGAATTGAATAAGCTTTATCGCTGCATCCACGAAGAAAACTTGTAGACAATCCAGTAGATGCACCAAACAGTTAATGTTGAAAATATTTTGAGCTTATTCTGCCGGTTTGCAGTGTTTATATTTTATTGACTTAAAATTCAGTTTTCCAACAAATCCTTAAAGTACCCGCACACCTTCGTGTATAAATGTCCAGATTATACAACATAAAAACTATCGCAAGCGGCAATTCTTTGATAACTTTCCTCTCAGCATGTTCAGGAAAAATATCATAAACGCTATTTTATCTTTAAAAAATAGGTATGCAAAAAATAAATAGTCCCATTAGAAAGCTATCATTCAATAATGTTGTTGTCCATTTATATCCAAATAAATTTTTACACTGTTTAAGTGAGAATTAAAAAAACCTCCTGTAAAATTTACCTTTTGTCGCTTACCATAAAATCGCAATCAGGGGTCGATATGTAAACACAAAGAACGCTGTGGTGAATGGTACTCTTTAGATTGTGAAAATTTAACTGGCATTTTAATTGGCTTGCGAATATTAATCCCTGGTATATAGTTTCCAATCATTCCCGCCTTTTGTATGACCTGTATTTTCTCATGAACAATTGTATNACGCTGTGGTGAATGGTACTCTTTAGATTGTGAAAATTTAACTGGCATTTTAATTGGCTTGCGAATATTAATCCCTGGTATATAGTTTCCAATCATTCCCGCCTTTTGTATGACCTGTATTTTCTCATGAACAATTGTATGCTACTGCCAGTACACTTCGTTCATTTCACAAGATTGTAGTTCTAATTTTCACATACTTCAGACCAAGGTCATTTGTTTGACGACCAAATGGTTTTTATAAAAAACATTGGTTATAGAGAATTTATCGCCCCGTTAAACTGTAATGCTTATAAAATATTAAAAAAAAAAAAACGATATACAAANCTACTGGCTACTGCCAGTACACTTCGTTCATTTGACAAGATTGTAGTTCTAAATTTCACATACTTCAGACCAAGGTCATTTGTTTGACGACCAAATGGTTTTTATAAAAAACATTGGTTATAGAGAATTTATCGCCCCGTTAAACTGTAATGCTTATAAAATATTTAAAAAAAAAAAACGATATACAAATTTTTAGCCACGATTTAGTAATTTTGTGTCTTATAACTTAATGGACGTGCCACGTTTGAAAACATCGCCAGGGCTCTAAAAAAAAAAGAAAAGAAAAACGGTAGAATTTCTATAGTAACTGGCCCCTCTAGTAAAAATAGCACCTCTAAGCTTTGTGCCAAGCTCAGGAAAATTCAATAACTTGGCATACTAATTTGCAAATTTTTTCTGGGCTATAAAACTGCATACATAATTATGGCCCTATTACATATATATGGCGACTGATGGCCGATGGGCAACCATATACTAAAATTCGCATTAAGTATCGCAACTGGGTTCTGAAGGTCGGCTACTGAGTCTACTTGCGTAATTTTCTGTTTCTGTTACAAAATACGATACTGGTAGCTACGGCTACTAGACCAGCAACTAGACACCAGTCGCCACATATATAATAGGGCCATACGTTTTTTGGCTAAAATTTATCTTTGAGTGCACAAGGGTAAAATAGAGCTCTTTTCAGTGTCCCACCGGTCACATTTATTCAAATGATAGTTAAATAAAACTAATAAATCGTTTGGTAATTTTGTTAAAGCCATTTATACATCGGTTATCGTTCTATGTTAAAAATCTATTTCGCTGTTGTATAAGTTCCGACGACATACTTAGTTATAACTCACAATTGATCACATTCTGGAGTAAAATGTCCCACCAGGCCCAATGGAACGGCTCATATATGATTTTTTATCAATGGGCAGTTTTAAAAACGAAGCTTACAATATATCACTACAATTTTACATGTAAGTATGTATAAATCTTAATATTTGAATTTTGAGATGCCCGGATATGTGTTGCCTGGTGGTTTAACCAAAACTTCAAATTTCTTTGTATATTTTACACCTTCGATCTGTAAATACATGAATTTATGATATACTAGGCACATCATGTGTAATTTTGTGTTGTATATTTTTGTATATATGTATGAAAGAAAATCATAGAGCTAATGAATCTGGAGAAGAAAATGCAAAGAGTACAAAAAAAAAACAGTGCTGTCACCTTATTACAGGGCTGAGCGGCTGTATATAGATGATATGCCAGAAAATGGCAGACAGTCTATTGTGTGATAACGTTAATTTTATATTATAATAAGTACTAACACACTTGCAATTTAATTAACTAACCAATTCTTATACATCCGTACTACTCACTCACATTTTTTTAAACTGTGCTTTTGTCCATAACTTATCATGGCGGCTTTTAATCCACATTTTTGTCTAGAATAAGTGTGGGCGGGCCCACTGCTTGGTAAAGTTACCTTTTATGTTTCTTTTTTTATCATTTAAATCTTAATTTTCATACCTGTTAATATGTACGTAAGTATAAGGCGCTCTTAATTGAGCCTTTGCTTGTGTTGCAAGGCAGTTACACGCGAATGTAGATTGCATTTTATAGCTCTATGCTGTTTTGAAATCAAGGAGCCAAATTATTAGCGAACGAAGGTGGCAGCTCTGGCAGATGACTACAACGATGGCGACGAACCAATCAAGCAAATTAAAAAAAGAACAATTTTTTAACAGGATTCTAAAAAGTGCAAGAGCAGCCGTATTTTCTTTTAAATTTTTAACTATAGCACCACAAGCCTCTCACCATACACACACTGGATTAGCCAAGACGAAATGTTTCAAAATTAATTTCAAGAGCCAAGGGACTATAATTATTATATGTACATAGTATGAAATATGAAATGTGTGATTCAAATTGCCAATGCATGCAAAGCTGTAGCTGTAGCGAACAGTAGAAGGCAGCAAAAGAAAAACTTATAAAAACAGAAGAAGAAAGCAGAAAAGCAGTGGGTTATATTGTTGAAGAAGTGGCGAGATAAGACGCCACGGAATGAAGAGAAAAAAAACTAAAAATAAATAAAACAAATACAAAATTCGTAAATAAAAAAATGCATAATTATTGAATAAAATTAAAAGCGAGCGTAAATTTTTGCACGTTGCTGTTGTTGCAGTTGTAGTTGAAGAGATTATTACTTGGTGTTGTCTTTTTTAAACTATAATTTGCTTACGTTTTATGTTTTTCTTTATACGTTAAATAAATTTAAAATTCAAATTATCAATGCTATTTTTTTTGTTTCAAAATACAAGTTTGAAGTTAAATAAAGGAATTTTAGTCTAAAAATATTTTTTAAGAAAAAATAAATTGCTATAAGTACTCGTAACATTCAATCATTCGGCGTCGTAAATTACTATTGTTGTTGTGGATGAGGATGAGGATGATGATGTTGTTGTTGTTGTCGTTGTCGTCTTCGTCGTCCCCTACATCGTCATTGTCGTCAGACTCTTGGTCTCCAGCGTTTTCATTATCGTCCTATACGCGTTCTTAGTAAGTGCAATAATTGGCACTTTCCAAGTTTGTAAGCAAATACAACAGCATCAACAACAACAAGGTTTAAAGTGAATGGTGAATGCAAAAACAGCATAAATCAAATAACAATAAAGCTACGTAGCAAATAAAAACCTTTATTACAATCGAAGAACGAATTTAAACAGCGCGCAGCTTGAGAAGCTTAATAAGTTGGAGGGCGAGTGACAGAAGAGAGAGCGGCGTTGCAAAGTACGAAGTTGTACACGGATTAATTTACTGATTTAATGCATCTGCTGGGTTGCGACGCGAAACGAGCGTCAGTAACAACAACATCATCGTCGTCAAAGCAGCAGCAATTTATGAAGAGATCAACGAGATTGAGTTCATCATCATTGAATCCTAACAGCTAGCTATCATCATCTAGCCAACCACCAGACAAGTCTGTCAATCAGTCAGTCAATCAGTCATTCACTAGTCACTAGCCACCATAGCCATCAACAACACCTTCATTCCTCCTTTTAACTCATTAGCAGCTTCACTTAAAACCAGAATAAAATAGTTACGTCAAACACGCTTCTCCATTCATTGAGGATATCAAATTAAAACTATTTATGAACGAATAAATCAAAAAACAAGAACAGATAAAAAATTTATTGCTTCAACAACTACTACAACAAGAATTTTCTTCTGTTTGCTTACACCTGGACTGGCGAAAAGGCAACCTAACAATCGCACTTGTGAAAAGAAGGATCATCAACAGCAAGAAGCAGCAAAAGAGCAAGAAGAATAAGCACAGACGTCTGCGCTTAGGACAACGTCGCATAAAATTCTACAACAGTAAAAATTGCAGGAATTATCGTAGCAGAGGCACAAGAAGCAACAGCAACAGCAGCAGTAGCGGTAGCGGTAGAAGCGCAGGCAAAAAGCGGTTGAACGGCAGCAAAAGGATTGGTATTACAGAGTCCGCTTGCAAAAGCACAGCTACGACGACGGGCTACAACAGAGCCCCGAATCTGGGGGCACGACAGACGCGCAACAGTGGTGGCAGCACAGATTTTGTTGCTGGCGGCGGTTTAACTGGCACAGCGACAATTGCGGGTGGCGCTAGAGGTGGCGCGTCCGTTTCGGGTGTAGCGGCAGCTACAACAATTGGACAACGGCCGCAGCCTCAGCCACAGCCACAGCTACCGAGAGATCAGCATCAGCAACCATTGCCACACCACCCGTTGGTTTCCGCACACTTTACGCAGCCAGGTGGTGGCCAACAACAGGCAGCCGGCCAGGTTGTGCTGCCCCATCATCAGCCGCTGCAACAAACACATTATTTGCACGCTACAGCTGGCGGGCAACACTACCATTACAATCCGCAGGCGCACTATCAGGCGCAGCTGCAATCGCAACAGCACAATCTACAACAAAACCAACATCAACCTCATTTCCATACGCTTCCGCATGCGCATCCGCAATCGCATCAACACCAGCAACAACGTCATCATCAGCATCAGCAACACCAACAACAACAATCACAAACGCGCTTGCAACAATTGCAAGCGCAATCGCAACAACAACAGCACGCGCACGCGCAAGTGCAAACTCAACCACAACTGCAAGTGCAGGCACGCGGGCATGCCCACGCCCACGTGCATGCGCAACATCAACAACAACAACCCGTGCATTTTTATCACGCGCCATACCCCGCGACCAATAGCGCAGTAGCAGCAACAACAGCCGCCGCTGCCGCAGTCGCCGCCTCAACCACAGCCATATTAAATTTAAATCTTAATCACTATCAACCAACAGGACGCCTTGCTGGCACAGCACCCATTACCGGCGCACCGCTTATCTACCAGCAGCAGCATCAGCAGCACCCGCAGCAGCAGCAGCAAGCACCGCCGCCGCCCGCGCAGCAGCCGCAGCATCAACAAATAGCGCAACAGCCACCGTTGCATATACAGCTCAGTGGACGTTATCATCACTCGAATCCGCATTTGCACCAGCAGCCTCCTCCAACTGTGCCAGCGCTACCGTTGCCCCTCACACACATACAAACCCAAGCACAGCCACTGCACCGCATTCCACATCCGCCGCCTACAGCATCAGCGGCGGCAGCAGCAGCAGCAGCAGCAGTAGTAGCTTCTGCCCAACATCATCAAATACATCCGGCGACAATTGATATTGGACTAGGCACCGGCTTGGTTGTTGATCGTTCTTCGGCTGCTACACCCTCTTTTACGCCACACTTGAACGCACAAATCGCAGCGCAGCACAGTTACGGGCAAGGTCGCACAGTAGTCGCGGCAGCCGAAGTGGTAGGCTCCAGCTCAACGGCAGGCACATCGACGGCGGCGGCGACATCGTTACATTCTTCACATTCGCTCAGGCGCAGTTCACGAAGCAAAACGGGTTCTTGCGTCAGCTCGGCAGCGCAACACGGCAGTGGCAGCGGGAGTGGAAGCTGCGCCAGCGGAAGTGGTATTGGAAGTAGCAGCGCTCTGGGAGGAATACAACTCAACGCTGCACTCGTATCGGCGCCAACGCTATTAGCAGCAACGAGTGGTGGTAGTGGCAGCGGCAACGTTGGCTGCGGCGGCAGTGCCACGCTAATGACAGCTGCCGCTGCCATGGGGAACCATCATCAATATCATATCCAACACCCGCACCACGCGCCCGCGCATGCTCACCTTCATCAGCATCAGCCGCACCATCATCAACCGCAACCGCAGCAACAACATCATCACATGCTCCATCATTCGGTTGCTGCCGCACCAGGAGGTGCCGTGGTTGTTGCCATTGCTACATCACAAAATCAAAATCAAAGCAATACTGCAACGTTATTGCATCCGCAACAACAGGCGCATCATCGTGGCGCCACTATCGTGCAACCCGGTTTCCTCTATAATTACCGGGCAACTGCTGCCAATGCACATTTGAATGCTGCGATGTCTTCATCGTCGTCATCGTCGAGTCACCTCGTTGGTGCGTCGTCTGCGAGTGCTGCCGCCATCGCCACCGCTAATGCCAACACTACCACCGCTGCTGCCAACACCGCTAGCGTCGCCACTGTCGCAACGAATAGTAGCCACATAAATATGAATGCGCATAATAAAGCGAGCGGTAAGTGTGTGCAGCATATGCGGGGTTGATGTTTTTGGTTTTCTCGTTAATTTTCGTTGTTTTTTTTCTTTCGCTGTCACCTCGCCACCGGTACCTGTGCAAGTATAGTTGTAGGTCAATCGTTTCCAAGCGCAAGACGTTGCTACTTTATTTTTTGGTTTATTTTTATGCTATAATGTTGAAACCTGTAAATAACGGTAGAGGGAAATAGAAAGGTGTTGGCTATTGAAGTATTTAAAGGAGAAGTGGGTGGGTATTAAGATGATTGTGGGCGCAGGAACAACACTCGAGGGTGCGCGATAGGAATAGCTATGCATTTAGGTGGATTGTTAAAGTTTTTCCGTGTTAGACAGCTGTTTGTTCGTAAGCTATTTCTAGGTACAATAGGTGCTTAGGCCGTAGTGCATACCTCGGTAAACTATCTACCCCAGTGGCTTTTACTTGTAAATAAAAATTTTGTTCGTTTTATCATAGCGATCTTTGGCAAATGTGCAAGTTTGAGCAGTGAAACCCGATATAAATAATTTCAAAACACAATTGGGGTCATCACGCATTCAACGTGAATAAATCGTTCCCATTATTTTACAGGCAAACAAAAAACAAATTATGAAAGATTTGTTTTTGTTTTGCCTTATAATTTTTTCGAAGATTTCATAATAAAATGGGTTCAGCCATTACTTAGTTCTTCTAAACGCAATTTGCTGCTGTTTCCTTAAATATATTAAAAAAATAATTTTTGAAAGTAATAATAAATTTTCAGAATTAAGCGAAAAAATGCCATATTTTCACTGAGCATTAAATGAAAAAAAAGTTTAATCACAAAGTTGGGCATTGACGAATGTTCGTGTCATTGCGTTAACAAAAATAGTCATTAAGTTCGTTCGCAATTTCGGGGAATACTGCTGAAGTGATAGCCCTTGGCCAGATATAAATCTCGGTCGTTCCGGTTACGTAGACCCGGCTGCCGTGAAAACGAACTCAAGCCTTTTTTACTTGCTTGGTGTAAATAACAGACTAAGCCATTTTGGTCGAATGTGATCTGACCCAAATTGGAAACGGCTCAGGGAAACCACGTTCCCCACCAGATCTTTCCATCACAGGAAAGCGGTCTTCCCTTTATCTACCACAGCCCGTCAAGTTGTTCCTCCATATTCTGAGGAGTTTAAATCTCCAATGCACAAAATCGCCGTTTTTTATTGTATCAATAGCTGCAGAAACAGAACGACTGTTGCAACCTATTCCTCTATAGAAATAGAGCAATGCCCCAATGAAGGCTATCTTTAATTTTATGAGAGAAAATACAGAGAAAATCAAAACCAAGATTCCTATCTCCCATTTCCCAAAAGAACAAACAGATTTGTCTCGGTATCCGACAGTTGCCATCCGCACGGATCTTATACGATTCGCATTGTCATAACAAGCGAGTGTGAAGGAGTACATTTGTGCAAATGGAATCTGTCGGACCGGAATAGGAATGCATCGGAGGGAGGGACGCCATTCGCATGAATCTAATTCTTCTCACTCGCTTGTTATGACAGTGCGAATCGGATTAGATGCTTGCGGATGGCATCCGTCAGAAACCATAATAGCCATGCATATTTTTAACCGACTTCAAAAAAGAGGGATGGTATAAGTTCATCGGAATTTTTACCGCATAACTTTGGACCACGTGAAGCGTTTTCGTACACACATACTATATGCTAGCAATATCATTTTATGGAATTAAAATGCCCCAATGCTTTCCAAATTCGCCCGTATACTAAAATATGTCAGCTTCTCTATCTTACAAGCCCTAATTCAAGGTACTAAACCAGTCAATCGGACAGTTGACGTCCAAAAAATTCCATAACGGATATGCCGTTTTGATTGAAAAATAATACTGACTTGGCAGGGAATACTTTTTAAACAAAAACGTGGATGCTCGACGATTCACAAAAAAATTTAAACTGATGGTCCCTCCCGGTGTCGGTGTGGGTATTGTGGGAACCCGAATCCACACATATTTTCCTTTAATTAAAGATGCAACAATATTTCAAGCCGACCTTTGGTTGCAATACCTGAGACCGCCCATCTCTTAGTAAACCGGCAGTATGCCATAACAAGGATCTCCATAATTTCGGACAGTGAAACTGTTCTCAAAGCTCTAGAAATATATTTATTCTCACCAGAATCTCTTCTAGAGGACCAGTGAGCGCTCATTGAACTAGCCCACCCAAAATAAAATCTCCCTAATCTGGGTGCGAAGTCATGAGGGCTATGACGGCAGTGAAAAAGGAAACTCCGAGCTAAAAAAAAGGGTCACACGCCCTGTTCGTTGCACCGAGCTCATTATTCGGATTCTTTAAAAATTACATACATCAAAAAGCATATCAACAAGTGGGCTAAATCCTGCACTGCTTAGCTAGACAATTCTTGGTCGCGCTGCAAGAGTCCTGGAGACCTAACCTTAAATAATTACATTTCCAATTAGCGTATCGCTGCTAATATCGCTGACGGTTTGTTTCCCATTCATCGTATAAAGATGGAAGAAATATCCTTTTGTTAAGAAAGAAATTTTCTACGTAATTGCAGTGGGAAGTACCTTCTACGCTGTGACTTATCACTTTCGCGTGATCGATTAGTAAACCAATGATTTTTTTTTATGAAATAGGAAAACAATGGCAGTTGTTTACGTGAAAGTGATTAAGCTTACGCATTTCCTCTTCTACAAAAGGTCATTTCCCATCTCTATAGAATGGCATTTCTTCCTCTACGAAAGTGCATTTCTTGCTGCTGGTATCCTTCTTGACAAAACGATATTTATTCCTATCCGAAGGGTATTTCTTCCATCTTCATCTCAATAATTTAAGTTATTTTCTGTCAAATTGAAGTAGCATATTTTGTTATTTTAATCAGCGAAATTTTCCGATCAACACGGCATATCATTTATCCGTTATATAATTGCTTCAGAGTACACTTGAAAATTGTGCCAAATTGACGGGAAATAGGAAAACAATGGCAGTTGTTTACGTGAAAGTGATTAAGCTTGTTGTTTGGAAGCTCGTACAAATTTATTTATATAATTCCATTCTAGAAAGACTGAGTTTATAAACAGATTTTTCTTGCTATGATGCAATATAAAAAGAGTTCGCTCTAAANTTATCCATATCTATCGTAATGTACAAAATTGTTTGGAAGCTCGTACAAATTTATTTATATAATTCCATTCTAGAAAGACTGAGTTTCTAAACAGATTTTTCTTGCTATGATGCAATATAAAAAGAGTTCGCTCTAAATTCGTAATCCTAGGCATACATTTTTACCCTCATTCATATTTTTTTTAAGTACTTGCCCGATAACTCCTTTAGTTTGTAGTGAGCGTCGTGCTGTAGTCAGTAATGGAAAGCTTTTTCATGGCAGGTTTGTCGTTGCTTACCGAAGAGCAAACGCTTTTAGAAAAAAACTGTTTCATAAATGTCGCTCAGATCAAGGATCGAACCTGGGTCCTATCGCTTGGAAGTTCGCACTTCTAACCAGTCAGCTATGGTGGCCACCTACCCTATAACTACCCAAAAATGTTTCCTTATGTGAAAGTCTTTGGTTGGTTATGATTCGTGAGTCTTTGCGGTAACGTGGATCTCAATCTCTTCAATTTCCTTAAATAAGCTTGAAATACTTTTACATGTTTAGATGTTTCACTAAGTACTTATTAGGTAACGCTTGTATTAATGAAATTGTATCCGCCTGATCCCTCGTAATTTTGCGTTTGAAACCCACATACATATGTATAGGCAACACTAAGGAGCAGATAGTTGCGTTTGCAAATTTTGAGATGCAGTTGTAGTCCTTTATAAAATGAGAAAGCATACATATATTTTTGCATAGGGGTATGCATTTACATATATTTTATATGTATGTATATACATTTATGTAGTTGATGGCTTTAAAAACTGTAAATATGTCGTTATAAATAAATAAGAAGTTAGTTAACGCGGTTAATTGAAAAATATTTAGTCTGGTTTTCTCGTGTATTTAGTCCTCCATCGGTAGTAGTGGGCGTGGGCGTGGGCAGAGTGTGGAAATGGGTGCTTTTAAAGTTATTTTAAGCACTGTGTTGTAAATTTATAAGCATGTTTTAATGATTTTAATAAGAACCTAGAAAAATTCTCTACTTTCATGGCGCATACTACTCGTACCACCCACTACCACATCCAACTACCACCACCACCACCACAACCACGACCACGACCACAACGCACGCATATATTTTGTACACAACAGCTTCTGCGGATGCGTTAAGTTATAGTTTAATGGCACAACAACCGCCGACTGGACCGCCGAATACAGGTGGACAATCGACCACAGGTAATTTGAAAGAAAAAGAAAACGAAAAAGCAACAAATGACGAAAAGTGCTAACCGAATATAAGCAAATCCTCTCATCAACCGCTTCATCAACATGTTTTGCTTCCTTTGTTTCCATTATCTATATTTATTTTGTAAATATATGTATATGTATGCACATATGTATATTTTTTAACTATTTTCTTAAGTTGGCTTCACTCTTAAAGTGTGCTATGCAGTTTTTTTGTTTTATTGCTTTTATCCCTTTTCCTTATTTTATACGACAAAGCCCTATTCTGTTTCCCCACTTAACTGTTTCCTTCGACTGACCCAATTTACCTGCCTGCCCTGCTAAGCGGTGACAGCACTTCTGTATTTACTCTTTTAATTTTAATACATATTTTTTTCAAATCATTTGTACTTTACGCATACATATGTATGTATGCAACTAAAAATATCTACATATATATATTGAAGTATAATCTTATTCTCATATTCAATCAATTTCATCATTTTATTTATTTTTTCTTCGTTGTATTGCAGCTAACCTCAGCGTCTCTACCGCCTTGGGCGCCGCCAACACAAATCTAGCAAATAACGCAAGTGCGGGAGCTGGTGCGGGTGCCGGTGTGGGCACCGCTTCTGCTGCCGCGACGGCCACAAATACTGGGGGAACAGGCGCGACCACTGCCGCCACTTCGCACGCCGACTCGGAGAGCGATGACAGCGAAGTGGGGCGTCTACAGGCGTTATTGGAGGCGCGTGGCCTACCGCCGCATCTCTTTGGAGCGTTGGGACCACGCATGACCCACATCTTACATCGCACCATTGGCAATAGCAGTTCGTCGAAGGCGCAACAGTTGTTGCAAGGCTTGCAATCGCACGATGAGAGTCAACAGCTGCAGGCCGCTATCGAGATGTGTCAAATGCTAGTGATGGGCAATGAGGACACGCTAGCCGGCTTTCCAATCAAGCAGGTGGTACCGGCGCTGATTACGCTGCTGCGTATGGAAAACAATTTCGATATTATGAACAATGCGTGTCGTGCTCTCGCCTACATGTTGGAGGCACTCCCGCGTTCCTCAGGTACAGTTGTCGAAGCAGTGCCGGTATTCCTTGAAAAATTGCAAGCCATTCAATGCATGGATGTTGCGGAGCAGAGTTTGACAGCACTCGAGATATTATCGCGTCGTCATAACAAAGCGATACTGCAAGCCAATGGCGTCTCGGCATGTCTGACCTTCCTAGATTTCTTCTCGATCAATGCACAGCGTGCAGCGCTAGCTATTACGGCGAACTGTTGTCTAAATCTGCACCCGGAGGAATTTCACTTTGTCGCGGAGAGTTTACCGCTTTTGGCTCGTTTGTTGTCGCAGCAAGACAAGAAGTGCGTTGAGAGCGTTTGCTCGGCGTTTTGTCGTTTGGTAGAGAGCTTCCAGCATGATCCTAAGCGGTTACAAGAGATCGCTAGCAAGGAGTTGCTTAAAAATTGCCAGCAATTGTTGGTTGTTACACCAACTATACTGAACACCGGCACGTTCACATCCGTCGTACGCATGTTGAGCCTGATGTGTGGCAACTGCCCTGATCTGGCCATTTCGCTTCTGAAGAACGACATTGCATCGACACTGCTTTACTTGCTTACTGGCAATGCAGAGCCCAACACATCGACCACGTCGCATGTCGAGCTCATAACACGCTCCCCATCTGAGCTGTACGAGATAACTTGTTTGATTGGCGAACTAATGCCGCGGCTGCCTACAGATGGTATTTTTACAGTGGACACACTGTTGGATCGTCCCACACTCAACACTCAGGACCAAGTGCAATGGCAGTGGCGTGATGATCGTGGCACTTGGCATAACTATTCGACCATTGATTCGCGTATGATTGAGGCGGCACATTTGAATTCGGATGACGAGTTCAGTTTGAGTACATTGGGTCGTACATACACCGTCGACTTTCATTCAATGCAGCAGATTAACGAAGACACTGGCACAACGCGTCCAGTGCAGCGCAAAATTAATCCAAATTATGTGCCACCGCCACCACCACCGACTGCAGCGGCTTCATCAGCTGGGCAGGATTTGTCAGCTTCTGCGGTGGCCACAGCAATTACAGCGTTAACCAGCACAGTAGCGAACACAGCGGCAAGCACATCAGCACAGTCCAGCACACCCAGCACGGCTCCAAATACGCCTGGCACCAGCAGCGCTCAACAGCGTCGACGCGCATCGGTGGATGCACGCATCGCTTGTCTCAAGGAGGAACGCGGTTTAGCTGCGGAGTTCATCAAGAACCTCTTCAACGTACTTTACGAAGTGTATAGCTCCTCTGCTGGCCCTAATGTACGCTACAAATGTTTGCGCGCGCTGTTGCGTATGGTTTACTATGCCACACCCGAACTTCTGCGAGATGTGCTAAAGAATCAGTTGGTCTCCAGTCACATAGCTGGCATGATGGGCAGCAACGATTTGCGCATAGTGGTTGGCGCACTGCAGATGGCCGAGATTTTGATGCAAAAGCTGCCAGACGTGTTCGGCACACACTTCCGACGCGAGGGTGTAATTTATCAGATCACGCAGCTCACCGATCCCAACAATCCTATTTGTGCCAATCCCTCACCCAAGCCGTTACCAGGCACTAGTGGGGGTTCCCAGAGTGCACCTCCATCTGCGTCCGGTCTGCAGGTGAACCCGTTTTTCATGGACAGCACGGCGTCAACATGCGGCTCAACAACAGCGGGCAACTCTACTCCCAATTCGTCGAAACCAGGTGCGAGCCAAGGCCATCACCACCAATACACAGTGAAAAGCTTTTCACATGCAATGAGCACCTTAACTGCCAACGCATCGACTCCTGGCAATGGTCAAAAAGTCACCTTGGCAATGCCACCAAGCAGCAGTGGTCCTCTGCTAATGTCACAACTGCCTGCTGGTAGTGTGCAGCCACGTCAGCAATCCACTGGGTCGCTTGCGCTTACGATTAACTCCAGCACAGGTATCACACCACCTGTTGCTGTGATTGGCGGCGCTGGCCCGGCGACCGAGTTGCATTATCATTACAGCAGCTCTGCTCCGCCGGCTGCTGGACCACCCACGCACACACATCTTGCACAGGCACCGAACTTCTTTGTTTACTCCACTAGCGCTGCTGCTCCGCCATTACCGCCCGGTGATCCCCGGCAATACGTGCACGGCCACTTCCACCATCCGCCACCGCACTTTCAGCCTCATGCTCCACCACCACCAGCCACACATCATGTCGAAATAATGCCGTCATCATCTGGTGCGGCCGTTAGCAGCAATCCACCAACAGTAATGGCACATCCGCCACCTCAGCAGCATCTGCCACAAGTGGTGTTCGCGCCGACACCAAGCGGGTGCGATCCACACTATCAGAGCAATAGCGGCAATAGTGGTGTAGCGGCCACAAGCACAGGCTCATCCACAGCTTCATCTTCGTCCGCTTCTGCGTTGCAACACAAGATGTCCGATATGTTGAAGCGCAAGGTCCCACCGAAACGGAAATCACAATCTAGCAGTCGCTCAAAGTCGCGCCAGGAAGAAGGAGGCGGCTCCTCCACATCTTCAATGCACGATTTGCTGAGTCGTGCTACAAGTAAGTAAACTTGAGTACGCAAATACGGATTTTGAAATTGCTTAATAGTATCTTGTTTCACAATAGGTCTTGGCAGCGGCACCGGTCGCAGCACACCCAGCGCCAGCAGTAGCAAATCACGCTTCAGCGGCGGCGGCGGGGCTACCAGCAGTGCCGGCACTAGCAGCAGTGGAAGTAGTTCGACGAAAACTTCATTCCTCGCCTCGCTGAACCCCGCACGTTGGGGACGCCAAGGATCTCACCATAGTTCATTTACCAAAGATGCGGCCAGTTCAAACCACACCGGCAGCGGCAGCAACAACAGTGGCAGCGCTGTTAGTGCAGCACATTCTGCCAGCCACAGCGCGGGCAGTGCCGCGAATAGCATTAGCAAGAGCATATCCAATGCGAACCTCATTGCAGCAGGCAATCGTGAGAAGGCACGCCAATGGGTGCGAGAACAAGCCATTGCGTTTGTAAAACGTTATGCCGAACAAGAGAACGCGAAAGCAGAGGGTTGTGCCGGCGGTAACAGCGGCTCAGCTAGCGCCACAAGCGGCGGCACCAACGTGCTGCAACGGTTATCCACCATTATCTTCAAGCTAAATGGTAGCTTCCAAGATTGCTTAGATGCGCTGCTTGAATTGAAAACTATTTTACTAGAAAGTGATATTTCACCATTTGAAGTGAATCACTCAGGTCTTATCAAGGCAATGCTGAATTTCATGACTTGCGAAGATGGCATCGTGGAACGAGATGCGCGCTTGCGGGCATTTATGCACGTATTCGCTGGCTTGCCGTTGGAGCCATTAAAGAAGGTGGGACAAATGCCGAACATTGATGCTGTAGCATTCAATGCATTCGTTGCGAAACTAAATGGTTGCGTCACTCAGCTGGAACAGTTCCCAGTGAAGGTGCACGACTTTCCCTCCGGCCCTGGCGGACGCTCCAATACAAGTGCGCTTAAATTCTTCAATACGCATCAACTGAAGGTGAGTTTCAATTGCTATGCTTCCCAAAAATGTTTATCGATGTGCGATAAAGGACAATTGTCGTCTCTCCTAAAGGATCTTACATTCATATTGTAAATAAGTGTAACATTTTTCTTTTTAATTTTCACAGTGTAACTTACAACGCCATCCTGACTGCACGAATCTCCGGCAATGGAAAGGTGGCACCGTCAAAATCGACCCTCTCGCCATGGTGCAGGCGATCGAGCGCTACCTGGTTGTGCGTGGCTATGGCGGTATACGCGGCGATTCAGATGATGATTCAGAGGAGGATATGGATGACAACGTGGCCGCTGTTGTGATGTCACAAAGTGGATTCAAGCACAAATTACAATTCATGATCGGTGATCACGTCTTGCCCTATAACATGACTGTCTATCAAGCAGTTAAGCAGTTTTCACCTCTGGTGAATGATCAGTCGGAAACTGATACAGACACCGAGACACCGCTGGGTAATGCTAGCGTTTGGGTGCAACAGCATACAATTTATTACCGCCCCATGGAGGAAGAGGCGAGCAGCAGTAGTGTTAGTGCGACAACTAGTTCTACTGCAAGTCTAAATGTTGGCAAACACTGTGGTGGTGCATCCTCATCGGCTGCAGCTGGCACTTCTGGCTCGGGACTGCATACACCCACATGTGGCACATCATCTTCTGGTACGTCCACGTCCTCAAAAAAGGGTAACAAATCATCGTCCAAGTTGTTGCGCAAGAAGACCGAATTGTGGCATGAGGGCATAGCGCCCAGTACGGTGTCTGCACTTAAAGCTTTCCTTACCAACACACTGCCGCCCGATGTGGTGACAGTGCAGGATGCCTCGTTAGATGCGCTATGTATGCTACGTATAATAAATGCGCTCAATCGGCATTGGGAGCAGTTGTATGGCTGCGTGCATCGCCAGCACATTGTGCCTCAGTCAGAATTTGTGCATCCAAAGATCACAGCCAAGGCCAATCGACAGCTACAAGATCCACTTGTAATCATGACCGGCAATTTACCGCAGTGGCTACCACAAATTGGTATGGCATGTGCGTTCCTCTTCCCCTTTGAAACGCGCCATTTGCTCTTCTATGCAACAAGCTTTGACCGTGACCGCGCCTTGCAACGACTGTTGGATACGACTCCTGATCTGAATGCAGCCGAATCGTCGGAGCGTGTGGCACCACGCTTGGATAGGCGGAAACGTGCCATTTCACGCGAGGATATACTAAAGCAAGCTGAGCACATTATTCAAGACGTTGGCCATTCGAAAGCATTGCTCGAAATACAATACGAGAACGAGGTAAGTGATAAAAAAAAAAACAATTAAGCCTTAATAACCCGTTCTCAAACATTTCTCAATTTTACTTAATAGGTTGGTACTGGACTTGGCCCAACATTGGAGTTTTATGCCTTGGTCTCAGCTGAGTTACAGCGTTGTGACCTGGGCCTCTGGAATGGTAGTGATAGTTATAAGCAGAACTCCTCCACTATAGCGGATGTAGTGAAATCGAGCACCAGCGTACAGATCGATGAAGTGAGTGACGTGACGACAGCGCAACAAGAAGACATCGTTACTGTTACAGCGGTAACGAACACAACAGTTGTGCAAGCAACTAACACAACAACAACAACTGCAAGTACAACCACCGTAACGCGTTCAAGTAGCAGAACTCATCGCACTGGCGATGGCCACCATGGCGGTGCCAGTAATAGCAGTGGTAGTGGCATGGGCATGTCTACACGTAGTCATCAACATCATCAGCAACAACAACAACAACATCAACAGGCGATGGATCAGGTTGGTGGCACATCGTCGTCAAATGAGAATGCCTTGAATATGATAATTGAGCAACAAATTGGCGGTGACGAATTGCAACTACATAATATAACGCAACAGCAGTTACAACAACAACACCATAATCTTTCGCCATCCGATGGCGGCGATAGCACACCGCCTGAAATCGGCGAGAGTAACTCCTCTGCGGTCACTATAACGACAAACACATCTGTGACATATGTAAATTCACCACATGGACTCTTTCCTATGCCGCTGGGCAAATCATCAAAGTTGCCGCATGTTTCAAAATCTAAGGCGAAATTCAAATTCCTCGGAAAATTTATGGCTAAAGCTGTGATGGACAGTCGAATGGTAAGTGAATTGTTTGGCTGAAGTTCGCTAATTTATCTTGTACATATGTCTTAATTTTTTTGCAACAAACACTTACATAAAAAGTTGTATGACGTCGCCATCAATGATCTTTTTTCACAAATTTGATTTTTTAGAATTAACAAAAATTAAAATTAATTAACATAGGAACTGCTTTCATGGTGGTTCCAAAGTTGACCTCATTTTCGATGGACCATATTCAAAGCCCAATCAAATTTCAGTGTCTTGCGTTGATAGCCACAGCGTATTTTCTAATGGCTGCCAGAAAATATTCTGATGATGTGCACATGTCCAGTTTCACTAGTGTAAAGTATTACTCTAATACTCGTATCAAATAATTTTGTCCGAGGCCGCTTCGCATACCTACAAAAGATACTTTATTTCATTATTTTTAATTTTTTTTTAATTTTTTTTCCATTCCCTTTTTGGTAAATTATTCAAATTTTTTGTACTGCTCTCGATTTAGACTAGATATATTAATATTTTGTTATCTTTTCAGCTGGATCTACCTTTCTCAATACCATTTTATCGTTGGCTACTAAATGAAGAGCACTCAGTCGGTCTGGCCGATTTGGCGCGTGTTGCGCCCGAAGTACAAATCACATTGGTACGTTTGCAGGATGTGGTACATGAACGTGAGCTAATATTAGCTGATTCCAATCTAGATGCAATGGAAAAGACTGAAAAGGTAAGCAAAGAGTTGCTTTATTTCACGAGCAACTGCAAACTTATAAACTTCCTGCTTTCACATATAGATCGAATCACTGGACTTGGATGGCTGTCCCATAGCTGACTTGGGATTAGACTTTGTTTTACCCGGCTACGCTAACATTGAGCTGTGTCGAGGTGGACGTGATACGCCAGTAACAATACACAATTTACATCAATATATCTCATTGGTGACATATTGGTTCCTCATCGAAGGCGTCCAGAAACAATTTGAGGCATTGCGTGAAGGTACGTGCGCTGCCCCAAAGCAATTTAGATTTAATATAAAGGTGTTGTGTTTTTTTTTTCATTCTTAACTCATAAATCTTTTCTTTCATACTCCTTCTGCCAGGTTTTGACTCAGTGTTTCCGACGCAACGTCTGCGTATGTTCTATCCCGAAGAGTTGGAGAATGTGTTTTGCGGTTCTGGGGCTAGCAACTATCAGCGTTGGGAGATTAAAATGCTGCAAGATTGTTGCCGTACCGATCACGGTTTTACACAAGATTCCCAAGCTATACAACATTTATACGATATACTATCATCGTATACTCGCGATGAGCAACGATTATTCCTGCAATTCGTTACCGGCTCGCCACGTTTGCCAACCGGCGGCTTCAAATCGCTAACACCACAGCTAACCATAGTGCGTAAAACGCTTGATGGTAATCAAAATCCAAATGATTATTTACCATCGGTGATGACATGTGTGAACTATTTAAAATTACCCGATTATTCGAGTCGAGAAGTGATGCGACAGAAACTGAAAGTTGCGGCAAATGAGGGTAGCATGTCGTTCCATTTATCGTAAATACGCAATGTTGCGAAACGAAGAAGTTGGCAAGTAAAATGATGTAAGTTAGCAATCAAATTGAATAGTCGGGTGATATCGTTAAACCTGAGTTTAACATGAATAAAACTAGAAGTAACTGGAAAACTATGCACCAAGCAAAGGAAACATTTTGAAAAGCCAAAAACCAGTTATATGTACAGAAACAAATAAACACACACACTCCCTTACATACATTGATACACACCCACACAAACATTTGAAATATATTCTTAATTACTGAATTCAATATGAAATATGAAATTAATTTAATGGAAAAAGAATAAATAAAATATAAAATGGGAATAAAACATGTCAGACAAGAAAATTTGAACTATAAAATTAGAGTCGAAGCAGAGTGTTTTTAACGCACAAGCGCAAACGTTACACAAGCATACATACTCCATTCATACTCAAGACGTGAATACGCAATAACGCAAATTATAAAAATTTATTGCGTTCATACACGTTGAAGAGGATGCGTTTGAATGCGAGCGCAGGATTTTGAATAGAAAATTTATATAATCAAGCTACGAAGAAACTCGAGCGCTGGCTAACTAGAAAACTAGGCAGTGACTGCTTATAAACGTTGTATGTACTGTAAATTCGTTGCAAATACACATACAAAAAATGTATATTAACATTGTGATGATAATATTTTTTATGCAGTATAGGAAGTAAAATTAAGGGAAGTAAACGCGTAAAGAATGGCAACAAAATTTCGAAGCTAAATAATTAGGCAAGCCAAGGTTTAAAAAATAATGGCGATGGAAAGAGTAGCAAACGTAAACGATAGATAATCAATCTTATAGATACTTGGACTTATTAAATTCATAATTCTTGTGGAGTAATGATAAAGCGGAGCTAGATACAAATATGTTTTTTTTTTTTATAATGGCGAAGTGCTTTAAATTTGTTTGTGTGAAGTAGTTGTGCTTATTATTATTTTCGTTTAGCTTATTATTGATTTATACGATTCAAAACTAAATTTAGTGTTATGTAACCGTTTTGTTAATACATATGTACGTACACACATACATTTGTTCTTGAGCAAATCTTCATGTATTTTTTCTATTCTGTCACGTATTTATACCAACGACAAGTGTACATGTATTATAGCTTATAATTAGCAGTCTTATGTATTGATATACTACAGGTACTTACACCTACATAAATTTGCAAGAGGAAAACACAAAAAGAGTTTTACAAATTAGCTAAAAACACGTTTAGTTTTTGTAATACCCGCCAGTAATACTTGAAATATTCATAACATATACATAATATATATAATCTTAACTAGCTGAATGAAGAGAGAAAATACAGCATAGTTTTAGGCAAAGTTGCGTATTCTAAATGCAGATACTAGTGAAGAGACAAATGTGCGCAGTGGACAAACAGCAATTTTAGTTTACTTTCCCGTGCTACTACATGCGAGAAACATAAAGTCATACATACTTCTAAGCAACTATTAGCAACGAGGGTGTGGTGGCTCTTCAATAGGGCATATGTGTGCATATACATGTACATATGCATAGGAACATACAGATATTTCATATAAATACCTAACATAGCCGTTTAGCAAAAAGTGAAAGCATACTTATGCATTCTTATACACATATTCATACATACAATATGAACATGCAATCAATTTAAGTGAGATTTAGGCTAAGTGAATAACAGGATTAATTCGTGCGCACGCTCGACCACATATTTCAAGTGTATTAATTGTAAAACAGTTAAATCCATAAATATTAGTGCCGATTCGTTAGTTAAGCACAAAACCCATTGGCTGATTTCACAAGACACTACGATACATCAGCCGTGTCGCTGGCGTTTCTCTTATTTTCCACTGCTGGCGTTTTGTATTTTAGTAGTCCGTGTTCTAAAATTTTTTAATTTTTAATGATCTTTGTTGTTCTTTAACTTGCCTTATCCTTATCGTTTTTTGAGTTAATGCAATCACTTGTAATTGTCCTTGAATACGTTTTTTTTTTCGCTGGTCACCCATTGCTATTATCAATTTACCCGTACATATATATCTAGCTACGAAATATAAAAATATACCAATCGTAGCAAAAAAAAAACAACTTACAAGTACATAATAATTAACATGAATATTTCCATACATACACAATTCTTCTAATTGTCAGTTTAATGTTTAATAAGTGAAAGAAACAACGCTAATTGAAAAATGGAAATATGCGTAAACTATACATACACACATTCAATATATACGCATATACATATATAAATATAAATATTAATTAATATTACCTAAAACACATATACATATATATGGAATATTTCAAAAATATTAACTCGTAATTTAGTCGTAAACTATTGCATAACATTAAAAAACCCCTAGTTTAAACAATCAAAAAGTGAAATGTATTAAACGGAAAATAAAAATACATAAAATGAACTCAATAACAAATATAATCAATATTGAATTCAATAATAAAAAAATGTTCGTTTTATTTCTTCTTCCATGTTGGATTCAGTGGCATTCAGCTCCATCCATTTAAAAAGCTCTGTACTTCGGTACGATGAGCTTCAAATGCTAAGCGACAGGGAAAACGGCCGCAAATTGTATCAGGAAGTTAGGCAACTTACGGTAGGCTTCAATACCGGGGCAAATGTTCAGAGCGTTCTTAAATTACTTCACCTTTTGAAAGAAAATAACGCTAAAACTAGCGGAAAAGATATTCAACCTCATTCGAATGTAAATCGTTTTTCGATAGTCGAGTTGTATCGAAAAGTACGTGGCATTGCCTAAAAATTCGATCAATTAAAAAAAAACCTCAAATTTCTTTTTAGAAATACTTGATAACGAGAAAGCAATAACAACTAGAAAATTTGACTTAGAGTGGATAATCATTGCGAGTGTCGTGTCGAGTGCAAGTCGTTTTTCGAGAGTCGAGCCGTATGAAAAATTACATGCCATTGCCTAATTTTTCGACCCGACTAGTGTATTAAAAAAGAAAAACTTGGTAGCACTGGATAGTTTTGGACGATTTTCGTCGACTACTTATTTCATTATGATAGTCGACAATGCCAATCAGTCGTAAATTAGACTAATAATGAGTCGAATATGAATATGAACTTCTAAGTTAAATAAAGTTAAGTTCTATAATGTTGAAGGTAATAAAATTTTGAAGAACCAGCAACTAAGACTTGAGTGTAAATAAGCTGAAAAAACAGTTGAAAAAATAAATAAATTATCTCAATCAAAATTTCTGCGGCAACCACAAAAATGCAGTTGCCAATATAGCAACTCAGTTGCCAGTTGCCATCTTTAACACCATAAATTGTACGACTTGGCCAAATTGGCATTGTCTACTATCGTACATAAATTAGTAAACGACGAAAATTGACCAGTGTTGCCAGTTTTTCCGGTTTACAATAGTCGAGTCGAAACTTTTCGATACGACACGCCCCTAATTTTTAAGAAAAAAGTTGGTAAGAAAGAGCTTTTAAGTAAATGTATATGTATGTAACTCCTTGTTTGTAGGCGTTTCTAAATATCAGTTTTGGCCATTTTAGCTTTTGTACATAGTTAGTGAAATATCTCATCTTTTGCATTTTAGAAAATTACCGTCATATGAGAGGTCGGCGTGACAGTTTTCAATAATCTATCTTGATTAGTTTTCGAATTACATAAAGACATAAATGCAGCCAGATGGGCCAAATCTTATACTGTGCAGCAGAAAGAAGCTGATAAGGTGGATGCATTAACTCTTATGCAGAATATGGTCGGACGAGCGCACACTCGCCGATTGAAATTTGAGTGTGCTCTGCCCAATCCATAAGAAAGGTGACCCCGGCCATATGTGCCAACTACCGCGGAATCAACCTTCAAAACATAGATTACTGAAGCCCACAGTCAAAGAACTGGGCTCGAATCGTAACAGTCGTCAACGAGCAACTCGTCGCGTAAAAATGCATATTTCGGATTATAACAGTCGTGAATAAACAACAGGCGACTTACACGGTGCGTCTGACTCGTGAGTCGGTTTGGATGTGTTTGTGAAAATAAATATGTGTTAGTTACACCAACATGGCTCCCGGCATGACTCCGAATGATTCAACTGTGGGTAGTCGAAGGCGAGTCAACACGTACACAAATGACTCGCGATTCAGACGCACCGTCTATGCCACCTATGCTTTGTAATTCTCACTCCTCACTTTTAAATTTTAGTGAAATTTCAAGACAGTGTCACACGATTGGGCATTTGCCCAAAATATGATACTAATAGTATCGTGTGAATGCAAATTTTTTGTTTTCCTAGTCAAGAAAAATATTGGTCAAAATTATACCAATCGTGTGACTACAAAAAAAATTGTCGTCCCAATTTTTTTATTTTGTAGCAATATCCCAATATAAAAAATTTACAATTCTGTGCCCAGTAGATAATTTCAGGAGTTAAAAGCCCTTCCAAAAGGCCTTCCTGAGAGTCAAGAGGCCTTGCACTCTACATTCCTTCTTTTTTGTATGGAGTGGCACAAATTAAAGGGCTTCTTCTTTCGCTACCCATGGAAGGCCTTCCAGAAGGGCTTTTGTAGGATGTAATCCGGAAGCGTTTTGGAGAAGTTCTTTTAAAGTTGTTTTTTAATTTATGAAAGTCGTAAATGCCCCGTAACCGCGTCAACCTCGTAAATAAACCGATTTTCAATACAAAATTAAGGCCCTTATTATGAGCTGCATTCGATTTTCGATCTTCGCTGGCTATCGAAGATCGAAAGTGAAATTCGTATTATGAGCTATGCAAGCGTGTCGAAATTTTCGTTGAGTATCGAATTTTCTGTCGAACAGAATTTTGCTTTCGATGGTGTAGCGAAGTGTTAGAAAATTGTGAAAAATGTATGATTTTGTATATGTTTTCTTACATTTTGGCGGCTAGACACTAATTTTAAACAATTTTTATATTATATATATAAGTTAAAAGATCATTGGGATCTTATTGTGCTAATGTTATATTTTATAATAAATGAAATGAAAATGAAAATAAAAAAAAATAGGGGTATACTTTTTTTCAGCATAGAACAACCCAGTGGCTGGCGGCATTAAAAATGCGACCTTATTTTTTTACATACATTTTTGGACCACTTTAATGTACATTAGACTGCATCACCAAAATAAGTTCGGAAAAATATTAAGATTTCCGTGAGCTGTTTGAAAATACATACCTCCAAAAATAGAGTTTTTATGAATAAAAATAGTTTCTGAAAAAACTTTTTGAAAAAAATCCCCTCAGACGACTAAACGGTTTAAGCATATATGTAATACTTCTATATTGATAGTAACGTATCTTCACAATGTGTTTTTATTCCGCAATCAAAGGTAGACAGCCTATCAAAAAAATGTTGGCTTGTATTAGTATAAATGTATATTTGTGAACTATTACAAACAAACAACTGTCAAGTCACTCCAGGAGCGGTTTAAATAAATTTAAAAAAAAGAAATAACCAACAATTTTTCCCTGAAAGTGATTGGTGCAAACTTTGTGGTAACCGGCGGATTTGAATAAGCAGCAAGAGATAACCACACTTAAAATATATACTGTAAGGATGCGTGCCGTCCATTCCAGCGCCTTACCCGGCATGTAGCGTCTGTCCGTTTTCCCTGATACAGCTCATTCTTAAGTAAATAGTACAACATACCGACGCATGCAATACGATTTCATTCTCTTTACCTGTTTGCTTCTACAAACAGTACATTTACGCACAATTTTTATTTTTCATGCTTTTAAACTTTGCTTTTAATTTTGTAAAATATTTACGGTTACTGCACCGCTCCTGATTTTTTATTGTTTTCAAACGTCATTTTGGGTACATTGGCTGGTTGGTTTTCTCGTTCTATCATTATGTATCTGTACTCTAATGTTGGCGGATGTACTTTCAACGTACTGCCAATAGAGAAGTATTGCATATATGGGTTTAAGCTTAAAAAATTTGCTTAAAAATATTTTTAAAAACTTTAAAAAAAAAATTTAACGAAAAAAAAAAAAGGATTTTTTTTTTTTTTTTTTTTTTTTATTTATATAAAGATTGTTGTAAGAAAAACTTGAATAACTGGACCAAACTACTCTGATTTAGACTTATGTGTTCTCAGTAGAAAGGCAATTTCCGATTCTTTTTATTTCTGTGCGCAAAAAAGTTCATTCACGTCCCAATTTTGTTTTCCAAAGACCCACACATCTTAATCCAACTTGGATTGAAGCTCGTTCATCCTACCTTTCTCTTTCATCCTTTGAATGAGTTTATTAGCAAATAAATAAAAAGGGTGAGAAAATACCTTTCCAATGATACCTCATAAGTCAGAATCGGAATAATTTAGGTTCAGTTATTCAAGTTTTTCTTGTATCAATCTTTGAAAAAAGTTGAAAAACAACATCAAAAATCTCATTATTACCAGCCTCATCATGTATCTCGAACGAACGATTCATCTGCAGGCGAATTCGTCTCCGCTTAAAATTTTGTAAGTCGAACGATCGCCTTCGTGTAGACTTTACGTCGATTACGTTGTATTCGTCTGGAACAGCGTTGCTAAATGAAATGTTAAGGTATTTTTATATATTTCCTTTAGAATTTTATTATTTTTAATTTATTTGGTACACTTTATAGAAAATGGGCATCACCGTCAAATGTTATTTACTATTTTTATTATTGGTCTTTTTATTTTTATTATTAGTGAGCTCTGGAGTGGCGAGTAGTGCGTCAACGAACGTTGGGATGATACCGAATAGGGGTAGCCTCTTGAATTGCGTATCTATCGTTGCTGGTCGCACAACGAATAGTGCTGGCATGTCAGTCGCTGATAAATTATCAGAGGTGGACGCTGCTGCCTGTGATGCCTAAAGCCTTGAAATTCCAAGCGCTGCGCAACTTGGTGCTGCGGCCTTCAACATAGAAGTGATGCAGTCGATGGTTTTTTCGATCTTCGTCAGCCGTGAATGCCGAAAGGGACCCCACCTGCCATATTTATATTACGAATATAGTTCGCAATCTTCTTTTTGTGCGGCTTTTGAGGTCAGCCCGTGTCTGAAGAAAAATAACCAAATCGTATTTTTGGTTATGTTACTGGGTT